CCCCCACCCTCTCCGCCTTCGGCAACCATCCAAGGTCGGCGGACCCTAACCCCTAAACCCTAAACCCTAAACCCAAAACCCTAAACCCTAAACCCCTAATCCCTAAACCCTACACCCAAAAGGCATCCTCAGGACCCGTGCTTTGGAGGAAAGGTCCAAACTGCTTTGTTATCTTGTGGCTCAAAGATTTTGGGATTAAGTTGCTAGGTCCTAGGGCTTAGGGTTTAGGAGGTCTGGTAGTAGAATGAGTTGTTCCTCGCGCGTCTGGCCTTCCAGCTTCGAGTGACACCCATGAAGCCCAACCTTACACCCCAAACCCCTGAACCCTAAACCCTAAGACCCCGAACCCCTAAATCCTAAAACCCCGAACCCTAAAACCACAACGCGCAAAAACCCTCAAAACCCAAAACCCAAAACCCTAAAACCCCAAACCATAAACTGTCTGGGCTTCCCAGGTTTCGCATTGCGGAGCCCGGGTGTTTGTTCCACCCGTCATCCCTTGGCCTGGCCGTCCTCGCGGCAGCCCTGACGCCTCCTGTGGCTGGAATTCTGCGGCTGGGTGGCGCTTGACAAGGGCTTGGGGTTTAGGGTTTTAGGGTTTTAGGGTTTTAGGGTTTGGGGTTTTAGGGTTTGGGGTTTTAGGGTTTGGGGTTTGGGGTTTAGCGGTTAGTGGGGTACATGGATATTTCCTTACATTCTTTATAATCCGGGTGGCTAAAGTGGGCTCCATTACGGGTCTATTCTTTTTCTCTATTTGGGAGCAATAATTTCCGGCCAATCCCCACATGGCAAAGTAACAAAAAATATGAACAGACTATGTTCTGCAGGGCTTGTGGCAAATAATAAACCATTCACTCACCTAATGGCTTTTTCCCAGCATAGTGCCATTTTGTACTGGCGGGAGTTTTTCTTATCAGCGGGCGAGAGGGTTGATTAGTACGGGAAGGTGATTGGCAGTTTCCGTTGTTCGTTTATGTGTCACACGTACAGGCAATTTCCCTCCTTGTCGTATTTGTCTGACGAAATTAACTGTAAGGTATTGTAAACGCTATCGCGCTCCCGCCTGGCTGTTGGGGTGAACAGAAATTCCTCACAGATCACGTTTGGGATGAGGGGGAGTGGATAAGAGGGGGATGGGAGGGGCAATAGTGGGAGGGCTCCAGGGGAGCTTCGAGGGGTTGAGGTGTTTAAAGGGGGTTCCAAATGCCCTGAGGCTGGATCAGACTCGGCAAATGTTCCCTTGCTGTTTTGTCTGCTTAGCAATGGCATGAATTTCCTTAATCGCCGTAGATGCCTTTGCCTTTGCTTACCAAAACTCCCTTCGTGTCTCATATTCGTCTATATGCCAAACAATAAACTTAATGTCCTCATTGTGTTGTGAGGGGACCTAATTCGTCAAGAAATTTGTGCCTTCAATGCACCACCCAGGCAGACAATTTGCAGGGGGCGCAGCTTCGTCGTGAGAGCACAGGAGTGATTTGGGAACCCTAAACCCTAACTTAGGCCGGCCTGAAGGGGCTATATAGGGAGTTTTGTAGGGGACTACTATAGGGCTTAAGGGAGATACGAGGAGTTTAGGCTATAGCTCAATTGAATCCGAAAACGCAGATTGTGGTTCTATTAGGACCTCACCGCCGAGCAGCGCGACAGAGCTTTCACTCGCCACTTCCTTGGCCCATTTCCCCTGGTGCTGATGGCACCAGCCGAAGCCAAGGCAGGCGGTTGAGGGGCATACTTGGAGGGACTTGGGGGAGAACTAGGGATACTGGTTATAGAAATTATTAACCTGCCTACTACGCCTCCCACCCTAAAATATTCTAATACTTACTAGTTACTTGGATCGCAAAAAAGGATCCCCAAGTGCCGGAAGCCTCCATTTAATATGAGGCTCTATATGTTTTTCTGGGTAAAGAATGGAAAATCAGACGGAAAAGCAAATGGGACATCAAGCAGAACCTGGGGTTCGTAGGGGTTTGGGTGGTCATCGTGCTGGCCTTTAGTAAGAAATGAACGGATGGAAAGACAATAGAGACCACCATCTGATTGGGGGTCAGATGGGTGCTACTATAGGCTCCCTTCCTCCATTCCCTACGAAAAAACCTTGAAGATTAGTACCATTATTTCTATCTTTCTTATTTCTTGCTCCTACATTATTTCTCCGGATACAGTGATCTTTCCGTTTCTCATTATTTTTCTGTTGCTAGTGTCATTGTGTTCGATGTTGAATTGCGTGTTATAACTCTTATGTACCCAGACCCCGGGAGGATCTAGAAAGTACAACCCCTCATAATGGTACCCTATACTACCATTGGGTAATTTCCAGGAAGCCTTTAGGGGGATCTACTTCCTGGATCCTCCCGGGGGTCTGGGTATGCGGCCTCATTGATTCTAGATGATGGGTGCTGATTGTGCGGCATTGCCTGGTTCGGTCGAGGTGGTTGTGTCAATCTGCCTTCGGGTGTTTCATAAAGACCTTACTTCACATACCGTGATCCACATAAAGCATCATGAAATGCAAGTTTGCACTTCATTTTTCATATGTTGCACGTGATTCTCCGTTATTAGGATAATATCCTCAAAGCCTAATACAACCCTAAACCTTGACCCCTATACAGTCCCTACCTACTTTACCTTCAGGTGCGGGTGTGGAACGTTTTCTGCAACATTTGCAGATTTTGCTGCCCGCGGTGGTGTCCGCGACCCCGTCGACGAAAGTTGCTGCCATTGCATTGGTGGCCGTCCCTAGTGCTTCCGTGCTTGGTGCCAGGATTGCATACTTATGGTAGGGTTTAGGGCTTAGGGATAAGCGTTTGGGAAATGAAGAAGTAATGGATCCCGCAGCAGTCCCTGTCAACTTTCCCATAGTAGTCACTCTGGCACATATTTGTTAAATACCAGTAGGTAGCTGCCGGATTTTGAGGGTGCACAGGCTCCAGCAACCGCTAAAAGGCCCGTTTGTCCAAAGTGCTTTCGCGGCCTTCTCTTCGTAAACTCCTCTCAGTCGCAATGAACGCCTACAAAATCTTCAAGGCATTAGTCGAATTGAGGGTTTCCTATGCATTAATCCTGATGCCTTTCACATGTAAACGAAGTGCATGTCTATGTGAGCTACGGACTGAATTTAGGTTGGGGGGGCCTATAGGGGAATATATAGGGTTTTGGGGGGAGACCAAGTTAAGGGATATACTGCACATTCAGGCCAGGGCCCATGTGCAGCTGCATCCCGAGGTGCTGGTGATTTGCCTCGTAGCCTGGAGATTGGCCTTCTACATGTTCCACTTCTCCACGTCCATCTACATGCGACCTACCCTGAAATGTGCTCACATACTTCTTGCTGCAGTGAGACCACTTTTCTCCTAAACCTTATACCCCTAAACCCTAAACCCTACATAGCAGTTTCCATGTTATTTTCATTATCCCTAGAGAATCCGTATATAACCCCAATATAACCCCAATATAAAACCAATGTAACCCCCATTAAGGTGGGAAATCGTTCAGACGGATCTACCGGGGGAGATCCGGATCCAGCTGCCTTCCGATGAGCAGGCAGAGGCTTCCGCAGCCAATGCTGATGAGAGCTGGCAAGCGCGCTATGTCTTGGTGCCACTGGCCTGCAGCCCACAGGTCTTGTGCAATGCCTTACTTCAACTCATACTAGACTATAATCTACGATAATACTCTGTACTAAATAATACTTCAACATACATTGCAACATGCTACAATGTACGACTATGATATATTTTAATTTGAATTAACGAGAGACGCTTTCAACTCCTGCGCCCTAAGCCCAAAATCCTGAAAGTATGGAGGCCCTAAACCCTTAACCCTAAACCCTTAACCCTAAACCCTGAAACCCTTAAGCCTAAACCCTTAACCCTAAACACAACTTCCCAGTGACTCAGGCCAGAGATGCAGCGCTTCATAGTTCTTCTGATGATCAGCTGGCTCTGGAACTTGCTTTTCTTCGAGCCACTGTTACTTCCTGGTGCTTAGCAGGGCATAAGGGAGTATAATGCTCATATATATATATATATTTATATAGGGATTATATATGTATACACATATGTATATATATATATAACATTTCCCCTACTAAAAATAGTCTGAGAATAGTAATGATAGTAACAATTGCAATACTTATTCCCGACGAAGCACCCGTAAGGTTACTGATCCTGCATCTCTTCGTGGGCGAGCCTTCTGTGGATGACTCTTGGCCTGGTGCTTCTTTTGGTGGTGGAGGGCATGGATCCCCACAACAGTTCCATGGTTTAGGGTTTAGGGTTCAGGGGTTAGGGGTTTGGGGTTTAGGGGTTTAGGGTTTAGGGTTTAGTGGCCTAGGTCCCCTGATATTTACCTAGAATAGTCAGTCTGACCGATTCCCCGCCGCTGGATTTCTGTAGGATGGCTTGGAGTCTAAAAACCCTACACTTGACTCCAAACCTGTTTAGAGCTTAGGTTCCTTTCTGCTTAGCTGCTTAACCTGAAAACTGAACCAGAGGGAAATTCTTTCCTTCTGAGCGTTGTATATTGTATTTGTACCAGAAGCCCCTTCTACTGATTGAGGCTTACGATACTTTTCCTACATAACCCGTGCAAAATCCCAGTTTCATGTAGTTGTCCCCTTCTCAATTATAACAACAATTTAGGTCGCGACAGTGCAATCCCTAAAAGCCCTGCTGGAAGATTTACTTTTCCATGAGAGTCTCCTTGCTTTTATTCAGGTACCCCTAAACCCTAAACATCTCCTGTATCCTTTTGATATTCCTGCGTACCCCTATATATACCTCAGAAAGGGATGGTTGAAGGAAGCCCTGGCGCCGATTTTGCCGATTCTGTGCTTGGTGCGGCGGGGCATTGCAAAATGCTGCAGCGGCTCGGTAGCTGGTACGTGAGAGCCAGAATAGCATAGAGGGTTTAGGGCTTGGGGTTTCCATAACTAGGCGGCACCAAAATAAAATCCAATATGCTATGCTTCTTATTCTAGGGCCTCCCAACAGGAGGCGCTGATTGCCGGAACCCCCAGATAGTAACACGTGACAGTATCGACGTGGGCATCGGCCTTGTTGCTATAGGTATCATCGTCGCTATGGTTGTGGTGGTTGTGGTGGTGGTGGTTGTTGGTGCTGGTGCTGGTGCTGGTGCTGGTGCTGGTGCTGGTGCTGTCGGTGTCGGTGTCGGTGTCGTCGTCATCGTCGTCGTCGTCGTCGTCGTCGTCGTCATCGTCGTCGTCGTGGTCTTGGCCATTTTCCGGTGGTAGCAGTAAGAGAAGGAGGTGTTGTAGTGGTGCTGGTGGTACGGACAAAAGCAGTAACAGTAGCGACCATTGTATGCAAGCAACTATGCTAATAGGCAGTCATAGTACGTAGTTGTCACTCGAGCTTTAGCGGCAATAGTTGCTGCAGCTTATAATCTGTCGCGAGTACAGGCAATCATTCTAGTACTACTGGCAATTCTTGTCAGGGTCACAATTTGCAAGGGCAATAGAAAGCACAAACTCAGCGATATTTCTATGACAGGGATTAGTCAAACGCCCAATGGACCCATCGCGTACCTCAAAACACCAGGATCTTCGTTGGTTCGTAGCCCCAGACAAGAACCTATTCTGGATTCTGGATGGATGAAATCTTGCACAGCTCTACATACCTTGTGTCCTACTATGTTCTAGCAATTGCAGTATGTTAGAAATCCTAATCATTGCAAGATTTCCTCCACCCACCGTAGCTTCGGACATGGGATTGAGTCAGAGGGCCGCAGATGAATCAAAGCGTAACATTTTTGTTGGAATCTTGTGGCTCACTGCGACTAACCTGAGAAATCATCCCACTTGTTTGAGCAGCAGTGGGGCCCTCTACTACCGAATTCAATGTATGGCCCATGGTCGTGAGATGAACTGGATGTTTAAAGTGGTTGCCAGGTCTTTGCAATCTGCATTTCAGAGGTTGGAAAATCTCTGCAATGTGAATGAATTATAGAGTTTGGATTTGGGCTTTGACTCTGAAAGCGTTGCCTTTCCCATTTTGAATAATTGTATCCTGCTCGGGCGTTCCAACAGCAATGTGAACCTTTCATGCACCTTGCAAATCCCAATCAGGCACCATAAAGGCCCACAGAAGCATTGCAAAGCCTCTATCAGCTTGGGTGAGAGTTTCTGAATACAATGCCGACATGACTTTTCACAGCGACCCCATTCTTTCATAAAAGCCCTCATATGAGCTGTAACCTTTATACTACTCCCTATATAATCCCCTCTATAACCCCCGTTAAGGAAGTTAGACTATGGCTCATATATCCGTGGGGTCCCCATGATACCCCGACTTGGAGAAACTTTTAGGTGTTCTCAGTGCCGTCTTCAGTCGCGTGGGCTCCTTCTTATATCGTTTCTGGCCAGAGAAGCAGGTACACAAGGCGCGCGGTGTCCGGCCGTGCAAAGGAAGGATTCAGCAATCCCCTCCCGTAAACATACATAGCCCCCACTTGTCCATAAGAGGGTTCTTCACTTTTGAAGGATGGGGCGTTCATGAGCAGGCAGGGGTGACTAGTGATACAGGAGTGTCGTCTGAGTGTGTTGCTGTTTCAGAGAGGGAGGAAACTGGGTTGGTTGATTCGGGGATAGACCTGGGTAGACTGGGGAAGGTGTGCGATTTCTCGCCCTTGCAAGGATGGCGCGCAGAATTGTTCCAAGTAGCTGAAGTACATGATTCTCGTCATCCTCGCCAAATTTGGTAATGTAGAAGCTTGAAGAAATAAAAGTATTCTCCCAACAGAACCCTCTAGCTGAGCATTCCCCAGAAGCCTGCTCTCATTGTACAAGCCGTACATCTAAGGAATTTGCAAATGGGTAGTTTCCGCATGTTTCCGCCATATTGGCCTCACACAGCCCTTTTTTGCCTCCTAGTCTCCCCATATAAGCCTTGCATTAGTCTCAGGTAAGGGTACCCACGTGGTAAGTCCCCACGTGCAACTGCCCTTCACTACATCACCAACATGGTAGTTTCCCAAAATGGGGGAACCCAATATAGACCCCCAATATACTATAATCCTTATTATGGGGACCCCCAAAAAGGTACCCCTAATTTTAGGAAACCCTCACATCGGGCGAGGTCTTCCAGCTTTGCAGCCGTTGCCGGCTTTGCAGATGCCGGTGCTGTTGCTGTTGCAGGCGAACTGAAGTCGTACCTTGTTTCAATGGATAATTTTTCAATGTGCGGTCTAGGATGTAGAGTTTCCGAGCAGGGTGGTATCTTACAAGAAGAAATCATCCCCTGAAACCCCCCCACCTCACACCTAACAAATATTCTCTGTAATATAATGGTACTATTTTGGGTATTTATTATCAAGTGGGTGGGTGGGTTTATTGCTGTTGGCCCAATCACCCAAATCCTAGAAAACCCTAAACCCTCAACCCTAGACCCTAATCTCCAAACCTCGAAATCCTGAACCCTAAACCCTTAAATCCTAAACCCTTAAATCCTAAACCCTAAGCCCTTAAATCCTAAACCCTAAACCCTTAGATCCTAAACCCTCCACCGCCAACCCATGGGGCTAAGGAGCCTGTGGCACCCCCTGATCTCACGGAGACGATCGACTCGGAGGACGAGGATGAGGCAGGAGCTGGAGCTTGGGGTTTAGGGTTAAAGGTTTATGTTTAAGGTATAGTCCCCCCTTAAGTATATTGTTGGGGTTATATCATAGGCCTCCGTACCCATGCTGCTTGGGGAACCGTTCCACTTCACTTTTGCGTGCTGCTTCACACGAGCGCAAGCAGCACTCACAAATGAAGCAGAACCCGAGCTGAAGCAGCATGCACTTATGCAAGTGATTTTGCCTTTCAGCTTTAATTTGCCTTCTTCTGCAAAAGCTGACTCTACCCCTACCAACCACCATTGCGTGCTGCTTCAGTCACCGTTCCGCTCCCCTTTTGCGTGCTGCTTCGGCAAAAGTCAAGCAGAACCCAAATCTGAAGCAGCACCCAAACTGAAGTGGCATGGCTATGGAGTCCTATGATTATATAGGGATAATGGATAGTGGAATGGAAGCTACTATTTAGGGTTTAGGGTTTAGGGCTAAGGTTTAGGGTAGTTTAGGGTTTGGGGTAGTTTGAGGTTTGGGTTAGTTTGGGGTTTGGGGTAGCTTAGGGTTTGGGGTAGTTTGGGGTTTAAAGAAGTTCGGAGTTTAAGGTTTCTTTCTCAAAGTACGATAGTCCCTATCATTAGAAAGGGGTCCTCAATTTCTGGAAGCCAGCCCATAACATGCTCCCCAGTTGGGAGCCCCACAACCCCCATAAATCCCCAGAGTTTGAAAATCCGGGCTAGGTTAAGGTTTACGGTGATGTTTTGATGGTATTTTGAAGAGCCAATGGCAGGCAGCAAGGAAGGGCAATACAAGCAAGAAGGCGAAGAAGGGGCATGCCGATGAGAAGAAGGAAAGCAAGGACGCTGGAGCATTTGGCGGAGCCCTACTGTAAACCTTAAAACATTTAGCGACTCTCTCCCAACGCATCCCCATAAGTGTGCCTATACTCTGTTTCTCACTCCGTCCTGTAAGCGCCAGTAAGCCAGGGAGTTTACCGCTCTAAGCGTGACCTGTGGCCATGCGACAGTGCAGGACAAAAGGTAGTAGTGAGACATATGCGCCGTGTCCGCGATCTGAGCCAAGGGCGCTTACGGGTGGTTACTGGGGAACGAGAGAGAGATTCTCATTATGGGGAATAAATGCAGGGACTACTGCAGGGATCCATTCCTTGATTCCATACAGACCACCAGCAAGCGTCTGTGCGATGTGTCTGCAGTAGCATGTAGGTTTTAACCATCGATCGTCCAGTCACATTGTCTCAAACTCCCGCTTTCAGCACGGACTTACGGTAAGATAGTACCAGCAGAGTAGTCTTTTAGATAGTGGTATGAAAACCTCCTAGATAGAATAAGCTTATATCCTGCCTGTGGCCTTGGCATTCTATGAGAAGGTTATGAACTTACTTGGTTCAACCACCAAAAGCACTCCTCCGCAGGTAGGGTTGAAACAAGTTACCAGCGCATCTCACCGAGTTTCACAGTGGCAGTGGGGGTTGCTCAGACTTGTGTCTCCCGGAGCCATAAGAAAACTGTCTAGCGTCCCCATAAAAAGGCCGCAAGAATCCTCCGTACAGTCCTTGCTATATGCAACATTCTGACGAAGGCCCTGCCATGTAGGGGCCTGCTAGATATGCACCGAGCTTTGAAGTATATAGTGCTAGAGTTATACAAGAGGTATCAGAGAACAAGAATGAGAATTATCCAGGCCTGACATGATTGTCATACAACTTGGGTCATTTCCCCTCACAGTGGCTCTCTTGAAAGGGATCTTATCAAGGAGCTTTCAGGACTCCTCGTACCAGTTGTGGGAACTGGTACTGTGAAGGGGGAAGGACCTAACATGCAACCCCTTAAACCCTAAAACCCTAGAACCCTAAACCTTAAAACCCTAAAACCCTAAGCCCTAAAACCCTAAAACCCTAAACCCTGAAACCCTAAGCCCTTTTAAGACAGGGACCAGCAAGTTTGAGGAATGCCCACCTTAGTTTCACACCTGACTGGCCACGGCCAAGCCACCCCGCCAGTTCGTAAATGCTCCAAGACCTAGGCCAACTGCCAAAGGAACAGAATCCCATGTTAGCTATAGGGAACTATATAGGAAGTATATAGGGATGTATAGGGTTTAGGGTCGAAACTTCTTAAAGGGCGTTATCTAGAAGCCAACTGCCAAAGACACAGAATCCCTAGGGTTTAGGGTTTAGGGTTCAGGGTTTAAGGTTTAGGGTTCTAGGGTTTGAAGGTTTAGGGTTTGGGGTTTAGGGTTTAGGGTTTAGGGGAATTATTTTATTTGGGGGATACTATGGTACCCCAATAATGGAGAATCAAATGGAAAAGAAAATGGAAAATGAAATGGAAGCTGGGGTTATATAGGGGCTTATCTTGGGGATATAGTATTTTATTTGGG